CTCAATGTCAAGCTCTTTGGGCTGTTGGCCAACACACTGCCCCATCCATCAGTCCACTGCCCATCCCTCCTCCTCCCCGCGGCTTACTTGGCTTGGCAGCTGCAACCACAAATGCTCCAATGGCTCACCCTCTGGCCGTTTTTTCCTAGGACTTCAGGACTTCCCCGTTCGAGGACTCTTCCGGAGTTCCTTCGACTGGCAGTGCACGCGGATGACTGCGGTAGCTGGCGAATCGAGCGAGTCGCTAGTCGAGCCTTCAAGCTCACGTGCTCACCCTGGACTTGTTTGTCACGCTTTCCTTTTCCTGCTCGGGGGCCTTTGAATATTTCAAACTTGACCGACTCCTCGTAATCGACTGTTATCGATTGGTTTTGACGGGACCAAGGCGCTGCAGTCTTATGAATTATTAAACCAAACAAACCCACCTACAAACGTGCCGAGAACTTCTGTTTTCCCCCATCCCCAGGCTAATTATTGATATAGGGTATTGGTATCGGCAAATAATAATTTTATTTATTTGCCCAAGGCAAGTGTCAATTTAGGTAAATAGGATTTCCATTTCCTTGGACCAAGGGGGAGGGCTAATGTCTCCAAAACAAAATAAAATCAGGAAACTAGAGAGTAGAAACTGGCAACTGCAGCGATTTCCTCACCTGTGACCTTTGCGATTTGCCGTGCCGGCATCGTTGGCATTGTTGGTGGTGCCTGCTCCCACATCTGCCACGCCCCCGGGGGGAGGCGGTGGGTCGGATTCCTGCTCGAAGGAGGGATTCGTATACTGCTCGATGTGCTTGGCTGACATTATGTAGCAGCGCAATCGTTCACTCGGTCAATCGATCAGCTTTGAGGCATATCCTGGAACGGAAGAGTAATATACTTTAGCACTGAAGTTGACTTTCAGAGTTCAGAGGTTGTGCCACGAAACTGTCATTAGGGATCTCCACACACACTCGCACACACAATCCCCCATAGAGAAACAAGTCCCCAGTTGATGACGCCGACAATTACTTCCTGAAATGCTCGCCCCATTGCCACACTAATTGAGCTCAAACAGAAGAGTCGCTGCAACATGCGACCAAGATGGAGTGAAAAAAACGGGAAAAAGATAATTACGGAAGGCGGTAACCCTGCCACCACCCACCAAGCACCTCCCTACACCACCCCCCATTTAGCTTTCCCAGACTTCCGCAGGACATGAAGGATGCTCGCTGACGCCGTCTTCTATTAAAAAGCTTGCTCTACACTCAGGCACTTGTCCATGTGAGGATGTTGGCCATACATATGTGGGGTCGTCGTGGGGTTAGCAAAGGATGTCCTCATTCGAGATGCAATCGTGACACCATCCTGACATTTTAAAGCTCAAGGAAACTAGCTCATTCAAAAGGATAAGGAATGAAATCGTCACATACAATTTCAGATGGAATATATAGTATACATACTTCTGTCTAGAATAGCTTATTCAAAAGAAATAGGAATAATATCAAAACTTGAAAAAGTATATATAGATATATTGTAGTATACCTACAATTTATTTATTCTATAAATGATTCAGTGCATATCGATTATTATAATAAAGCGAATCAAAAGTCCTAAAAATGTTTGTTTCTAAGTCACAAAAGTAATTGTATTGCAAAATTGTATAACTCCGATCGAGGTAATTAAAAAAAAATGTTAAGAAATATAAAAATAGTCGAAGATATTTAAAAAATAAAGCTTAACTTCGTATTACAATCCTGGTTCCCCAAATTGTTCGACATCCGTTTGTTTTTTTTTAATTTATGGCCCATTGCCTTCTGAGATAAACGAGAGACAGGACCACACAACCCGCCCGTTCAAGGAAGGGCTAATGAAAGTGCTATTCCCTTGTCAAGATACAAAAAAGATTCCAATGGCATCGTCATCGTCATTGTCATCGCCATAATCATCGGGGGGTGAGAGCTAACAGTTGCTCACTTCGCCGGGCGATTTTCCTTTCATTAATATGCGATACTGCCAAAGACCAGCAGCTATAACAACAATCGAGGCAACGCCACTTGAACACGCCTCCTCGCACGCATTTCCAGGGGGTAAGAAAGGAAGAAATTTACCGATTGCCTCGCCGGGTTTCAAAAGAAATATGAAAATCAGCAAAAAGCTAATGCTGCTACTGCTTTCCGGCTCCTCTATAAGCCCACCACTCCCGTCCATCTTCAAGCTGGGAACCCATGCAAATGGCAACTAATTGAGGATTTACTTGGGAGCTTACCCTTATGGTTGGATGGATGACCGCTTAAGTGTGATTTAGGGCTTCCATTAGTACTAGGTGCTGCACTTCTGGCTGCATTACTTCACCCACTGACCAGTTAATCAATTATCCCCATCCCCCCCAATCGAATTTTCCGCCCGGTGACCCACAATGGCTGACCCTTATTGCTACCATGTTCCACATTTTCAATTTTTGTTTCTTTTCAGCTTTTCTAGGGGGTTTGTAGGGGGTTTTTTGGTGTCACAGATGCTGCAGCTGTCCCCGGATAAAAAAAGTATAATGAAAGAAGAGCAATCTTTTTTTTTAGGCTTACTTTTTTCTGCTTCTCTTCTGGCCAACTGCCAAACATAAATTTTACCCTGTTCTAGTTGAGGTAGTCGCCGAATGTAGCAGGAAATGTTTACTCTAGAGATCAGCAAAACGAACAAGCTTTAATGATGCCCACTGCTGAATTACATCTCTAATTGGAGCACAATCGGAAATGTTTTTATTAATCAGACCTATCACGGGAAATAAAAACATGGAGCAAAATATTTCCTCTTTGCACAATAATTTATATGGTAGACGATGAATGTCACAACAAACTCTCCCATGAGTTGCACAATGTGAGTTAATTAAAGGGCAACATGGCAGGGACCATAAGGGGTATTACATAAATTGAGTTTGTACGGAATATTGACATCATTTATGAAATGTCAGGAGAGGATGTCCAGGGTTCGAGCGGTGAAAGCGGCCACAGAAAACCATCAAATTGAGTTGAGTTCGCATATTTCGAATATTAAACATAATGCAGGACAGCAGAGTGGCAGTGACAGGTGGATTGTTGCATAAGCATTACCAAGGGAAAGGGATAAATGAAGAGTTTGATTATGGAAAAGGCTTTTAAGGCCTCCTCTTCCTCACTTAATGGAAAAGTTACCGAAACCGAATTTCGCAGTAAATTTAAGTTCCATATGGAAGGCAAACAAGTTAATTTTTATTCAGATGGCGTAGGTAATTTAAGATCATCGTTTTTATAGAGCACCTTATGGCCTGATCTTGATCAATTGGTATTAGTTCCGTGCTCACGCCCTTTGTGGGTTATTCCGCCGACTATTCAGAGTCCATGAAGATGCGAATCACGCACGGGTTCTATCTCTCCCTCTCTAAGTATTCCCCCCAGTATTTTCTATATCTTTGTGTCTGGGGTAGGACATTGAACCCCCAAAACACTGCCCAGAGATGGCTGATGTAATTAAATAAGACAATAAGTAAGTGCGACGACATTCACCAAGTGCGAGAAAGAGGAAGATCGAGCAAGTGCAAACTGGAAGCAAGATTTATTTCGTGCGATTCTTGGCCAAAATGGTAAAGGTCAGACGGGCCGAGTTTCAGCCCGAAAGCCTGTCATAGCCAAATAAAGAAACTTGCTCAAGATGGGGAGATTTCGGCTTTGGGTGAGTCACCTCTCTCTTTTTCGCTTGTTGTTTAATTGTTAATTCATTGAGTTCGTTTTTAGAATCTTAATGGCACTTTTTGAAGAACAATCAAAAGTAAATGGAAAGTGAATACAATTGCATTGCCATATTCGATACCCAAACTGCATTTATCTGTATGCACAAACAACTCACAGATACAGATACGGATACATAAGCGATCTTATGCGATTCGCATACAGGAAGTTGAGTTTACAAAACAAGTTTTTTGAGCGCGGTTTCTTCTCTTGTTTTGTTTTGCTTCGCTTTGTTTTTATGTTTTTCTGCTGTTTTTTGCCTGGCCAATTTCTGTGCTAGTAGATAAAAAGATACAAATATACTTTCACGTGGAGTGTGAATTCCCTATAGTATAGAAGGCACAAAAACACTTCAATCGTTAGTAACTAATTACGGAAAAATTATTTCTTTGCTGATGCGAGTGCATGGGGATGTTGTTCAGTTGTTATACATATATGTGTTCGCTGATAAGAGTCTCTATATACTGCCGAAGATTTCCTTCATAGAAGTGGAACAAAGACAAGAGGCGAAAAAGAGACAAATGGGCATTTGCGCTTCTTTAGTTTGAAGTAATTATGGAGAAACACTATGAAAACAGTGCGATAAGACTGCGGACGTCTATCTCGGAACAAACAATTAGATTTCCCATGCCCGCCACCACAAAAACATCTTAAGGTTGATAAATACGGCACAGCGATCTTATAAGGCTCTAAGTGTATTTGCGCAACTGTTTCTGGTATAATTTAATTCAGATTATTTTCAAGGCTAATAAGCACTTCTAGCTCAACATTACTCATGGAACTAGAACATATCGTTTTTTTAAAGCAAATATAGTTGAAAACAATATTTGTTTGCTTTTATTTTAAAGCCCCAGGCTTTAAAAAAAAGTAAGTACTGAAACGACTCAATTAACCACAGTCACGGAGATTACAGACCCTAATACAGAACTAAAGCCTGCGTTCAGACCAGAGACTGATAGAGATAAGGAGTCTTGTTGCAAAGTATTACTTAGAGCTTGTGGATGAGAGATTATACATTTTTTGACCCTCCGACCTACATTTATACATTTTACGCAATACACTTTTGATTACTATTCTCATTTCATAGTCTTCAACATTTTGACGTATTTGCCGAATGGGGAATATCACTGCGAAATAATGGGAAAAAGTCCACTTCATTTTCCAGTTTGACATTAATGCTCATTTTATAAGTTCGTTATCAGTTGTTTTAAATTAACTAATGACTTTAACTGATAATATTTATAGATCATTTACTTTTCGTGCTCTTTTCTCTTATATGTTTTTATATCATTTTATTTTACTTTTCTTTCAACAATTACATTTAAGTTGAACCATAAAATGTATTATCCAGGATCAAGCCTTAGGTTCAATTTCAATCTGGTTAATATTTATGTTTTCGGAACCTCCAGCGGTTCCTCCAGAGCCATTCACAGTACTGCCACCAGGACCTCCTCCAGAGGGTCCTCCAGGACCTCCTCCAGAGGGTCCTCCAGGACCTCCTCCAGAGGGTCTTCCAGGACCTTCTCCAGAGGGTCCTCCAGGACTTCCTCCAGATCCTCCTTCAGAACTTCCTCCAGATCCTCGTCCAGGACTTACTCCAGATCCTCCTCCAGGATTTAATCCAGATCCTCCTCCAGTACTTACTCCAGATCCTCCTCCAGGACTTCCTCCAGGTCCTCCTCCAGGACTTACTCCTGATCCTCCTCCAGGACTTCCTCCAGGACTTCCTCCAGATCCTCCTCCAGTACTTACTCCTGATCCTCCTCCAGGACTTCCTCCAGATCCTCCTCCAGGACTTACTCCAGATCCCCCTCCAGGACTTACTCCAGATCCTTCTCCAGGACTTACTCCAGATCCTCCTCCAGTAATTACTCCAGATCCTCCTCCAGGACTTCCTCCAGGTCCTCCTCCAGGACTTACTCCAGATCCTCCTCCAGGACTTCCTCCAGATCCTCCTCCGGGACTTACTCCAGATCCCCCTCCAGGACTTCCTCCAGATCCTCCTCCAGTACTTACTCCAGATCCTCCTCCAGGACTTACTCCAGATCCTTCTCCAGGACTTACTCCAGATCCTCCTCCTGGACTTTCTCCAGATCCTCCTCCAGGACTTCCTCCAGATCCTCCTCCAGGACTTCCTCCAGATCCTCCTCCAGGACTTACTCCAGATCCCCCTCCAGGACTTACTCCAGATCCCCCTCCAGGACTTACTCCAGATCCTCCTCCAGGACTTACTCCAGATCCTCCTCCAGGACTTCCTCCAGATCCTCCTCCAGTACTTACTCCAGATCCTCCTCCAGGACTTACTCCAGATCCTCCTCCAGGACTTACTCCAGATCCTCCTCCAGGACTTCCTCCAGATCCTCCTCCAGGACTTCCTCCAGATCCTCCTCCAGTACTTACTCCAGATCCTCCTCCAGGACTTACTCCAGATCCCCCTCCAGGACTTACTCCAGATCCCCCTCCAGGACTTACTCCAGATCCTCCTCCAGGACTTCCTCCAGATCCTCCTCCAGGACTTCCTCCAGATCCTCCTCCAGGACTTCCTCCAGATCCTCCTCCAGGACTTCCTCCAGATCCCCCCCCAGGACTTCCTCCAGATCCTTCTCCAGGTCTTACTCCAGATCCTCCTCCTGGACTTTCTCCAGATCCTCCTCCAGGACTTCCTCCAGATCCTCCCCCAGGACTTCCTCCAGATCCTCCTCCAGGACTTACTCCAGATCCTCCTCCAGGACTTACTCCAGATCCTCCTCCAGGATTTCCTGCAGCTCCTCCTCCAGGACTTACTACAGATCCTCCTCCCAGATCCGGAAAGATTGGATCCTGAGGTCTGATAACCCCAGTCGGGAGACAAACGTGCGCAAAAGGGTTGTATATGAAATTTGGTCCACAATTCGGCCAAGGCCCAATTAGACCTCCAGGACTTCCTCCAGATCCTCCTCCAGATCCGACTCCAGAACTTCCTCCAGATCCTCCTCCAGGATTTCCTCCAGCTCCTCCTCCAGGACTTACTACAGATCCTCCTACCAGATCCGGAAAGATTGGATCCTGAGGTCTGATAACCCCAGTCGGGAGACAAACGTGCGCAAAAGGGTTGTATATGAAATTTGGTCCACAATTCGGCCAAGGCCCAATCAGACCTCCAGGACTTCCTCCAGATCCTCCTCCAGGACTTCCTCCAGATCCTCCTCCAGGACTTACTACAGATCCTCCTCCCAGATCCGGAAAGATTGGATCATGAGGTCTGATAACCCCAGTCGGGAGACAAACGTGCGCAAAAGGGTTGTATATGAAATTTGGTCCACAATTCGGCCAAGGCCCAATCAGACCTCCAGGACTTCCTCCAGATCCTCCTCCAGGATTTCCTCCAGCTCCTCCTCCAGGACTTACTACAGATCCTCCTCCCAGATCCGGAAAGATTGGATCCTGAGGTCTGATAACCCCAGTCGGGAGACAAACGTGCGCAAAAGGGTTGTATATGAAATTTGGTCCACAATTCGGCCAAGGCCCAATCAGACCTCCAGGTCTTACTCCAGATCCTCCTCCTGGACTTTCTCCAGATCCTCCTCCAGGACTTCCTCCAGATCCTCCTCCAGGATTTCCTCCAGCTCCTCCTCCAGGTCTTACTCCAGATCCTCCTCCTGGACTTTCTCCAGATCCTCCTCCAGGACTTACTCCAGATCCTCCTCCTGGACCTAATCCAGATCCTCCTTCAGGACTTCCTGGAATTTTTATAACCCCAGTCGGGAGACAAACGTGCGCAAAAGGGTTGTATATGAAATTTGGTCCACAATTCGGCCAAGGCCCAATCAGACCTCCAGGACTTCCTCCAGATCCTCCTCCAGGACTTCCTCCAGATCCTCCTCCAGGACTTACTCCAGGTCCTCCTCCTGGACCTAATCCAGATCCTCCTCCAAAACTTCCTCCAGATCCTCCTTCAGGACTTTCTGGAATTTTTATAACCCCAGTCGGGAGACAAACGTGCGCAAAAGGGTTGTATATGAAATTTGGTCCACAATTCGGCCAAGGCCAAATCAGACCTCCAGGACTTTCTCCAGATCCTCCTCCAGGTCTTACTCCAGATCCTCCTTTTATTGGTTCCAGATCCAGAATGATTGGATCATAAGGTCTGTTAACCCCAGTTGGGAGACAAACACGCATAATAAAGTGATATAGGAAATTTGGTCCACAATTCGTCCAAGGCCTTATCAGACCTCCAGGACTTCCTCCAGATCCTCCTCCGGGACTTACTCCAGATCCTCCTCCAGAACTTACTCCAGATCCTTCTCCAGGACTTCCTACAGATCCTCCTCCAGGACTTACTCCAGATCCTCCTCCAGGACTTCCTCCAGATCCTCCTCCAGAACTTCCTCCAGATCCTCCTCCAGGACTTCCTCCTGATCCTCCTCCAGGATATACTCCAGATCCTCCTCCAATATTTACTCCAGTATTTCCCACAGGTTTTCCACCAGGACCCCCTACTGCACTTCCTCCAGATCCTCCACCACAACTTCCTCCAGTATTTCCCTTAGGTTTTCCACCAGGACCCCCTACTGCACTTCCTCCAGATCCTCCTCCGAGCATACCTCCAAAATCTACTTCTGGAATTTTTATATGTCCCAGGTCCGGAATGATTGGATCATAAGGTCTGATAACCCCAGTCGGGAGACAAACACGCGCAATAGGGTGATATAGGAAATTTGGTCCACAATTCGGCCAAGACCCAATCAGACTAGAAACTGGAAGTATACTCATTATATCTCTAGTCTTTAATAACGTCTGATTTGGATTGGCCCTTTCGTTGCTTTATATCCCGCAACAAGTGGAATAATTCGATTAGTTTTCGATTTCATACATAATTGTAGTATAATTTTGTAATGGTGGAAATGTCATAATGCTAGGTTGTACTTATATATTAAAATATTATATAAATCAACAAGTAAGAACACTAGAGTCGGTTGCCTCGACTATCAGATACCCGTTACTTAGCTAAAGGGACCATAGGGAATTCTCAATATATGGATATGTGGTCGGTACACAGATTTAAGCGTTGTGGGCGTTAGAGTGGGGTTGCAAACTTTTATTGGGTCAATCGATAGGTATTGACGAGACTTATACATTTCAGTTAAAATTTCAGTTTCTAGTATGAAAATCAATCAATAGGTATTGATAGGAGCAATACATTTCACTTCAAATTTGTATTCTAGCATTAAAACTGTAGAAGCCGCAAACTTACACTGCGTACTACGGAACTTAAATCTGAAAATCCAATTTTTTATCTATGATAGTTTCCGAGATATCCACGTTCATACTTACGATTTTTTTAAGTTTGTGGGCGTTAAAGTGGGCGTGGCAAACTTTTTTTGGGTTTATCGATAGGTATTGAAGATAACAATACATTTTAGTTAAAATTTGTATTCTAGCATGAAAACTATAGAAGCCACAGTTCTGGGCGACTTGTGGGCGTAAGAGTGGGCGTGGCACACTGAGGAAACAAACTTGCGCTGCGCAGGAATCTCTAGAATCTGCATGCCTAATCACAGTATTGCAGCTTTAATAGTTTCCGAGATCACAGCGTTCATACGGACGGACAGACGGACATGGCTAGATCGAGTCGACTAGTGAAACCGATCAAGAATATATACGCTTCCTGCTAACTGTTAAATACTTTCCGAGGAATCTAATATGCCCTTTTACTCTACGAGAAACTTACTTTTACGAGTTATTTAACATATTACTTAAACTTTAAGGTTCCAACGAAAAGGCTTCATTAGAGCGTCATATATCTCCAAATGTTTCTTCGTTCCCGACTCTCCCGAACGTTATTCAACGGGTTCTTTTGGGCCAATCGAATGCAGCTCTCAAGTTTCCTAAGCCCCACAGGCTTAGCTTCGTGTCCCACCGTTTTTGAGCACTCGTTGGTGCAACTCGAATGCGTTTCGTGTAATTATTTGGCTTTTGGAATTCGACAAACTCGTTTTAAGCTTTTTGTTTTAAATTACTTCGCATTGGGTTTGGCACGGATCGGCTTGCTGGTGTTTGGCTGGGTTTGAACCAAATGAAAGGGGCTTCCGCGAAACATTTGAGCCACCCACCCAGTTGACTCGCCAAGCACAACAAAACACCCAAATCGGTGTGAGTTAGATGGAGTGGATCGGATTACAGGCCAGCCCAGATATTCAACAGTAACGGAGTGGCAAATAATCCTCTTAGTCAGCTCAGTTCGCTTGAGTTTTGGCTCGCAGAGTGAGTTTCAATGGAACAGGGCACTGTATCACTTTGAGTTACTGAGCTCGGGCCGCGACTGCGACACATTTGCTATTGTTGCTGCAGCTCTTAATTGCACAAGTCGCCAAAAGTCACATGTCACCGAGCGAGATGTACCAAGAGTGGCGGGAAATTGTGCATTAATTTATTGCCCAAGATCTCATCCCATCGCGAGTGCCATCATAAGGTGGCCCCCAGCTGAATCATCGCAGCATCCCACTCCACAAAAACCGCACGGAAAGTTCGCTGATCTTGCCGCTTTGTCCCATACGGAAAGTACTGACCTCGATTATCAGCCAGAGTACAGTTTGGCCTCTCTCACAGTAATTGATCGATTCACGATCCGGTCAAGAGCCAGACTCAGTCTTCAACAAAGACCGATTCTTTTTGTACAATTACGTTCCGGCCATTTACTGCATTGAAAAAAAAATATAACTCACTTTGAGTTTTTACTAAAACATGAAATGTTTAAATGAAATAATTTTCGAAATAAAAGATAGTTTTCCTATATTTGGTTTTTTTGGAACTCCCTGTGAACCATGAGTTGATAAAAATCTCAGGAGAATCGAAACAAATCATTTCTCCGAATATAATGGTAAATACATAAATCAAATCGACGATTATTTCTCTATGTGCTTCTTGTCTTGGACATTTCAGCACTGAATGACAGCATTTCAAGTGGGTGTGTTCTGCAAACCGGTATCTGAATCTTTGGCTACAGATACAAATAGATCTGCATCGCATTGGCCATTGGTACCCGTTCGACCGGCTGTGAAGGCCGTAACAAGAAAAGTGCTACCAACTCAAGCAGAGTGACACAGATAAATCCCAAGAATTAACTAAGCCCGATAAGAATGTTATTCAATCGTTTCTTGACATTACGGTAGCCAAAATGGCTTAACCTTGGGACAGCCAAAACTAAATGAATTAAACAATTGGCTTGAAGTACTAAGAGCTGGTCCATATGTACCATTCATTTAGACCCGCTGCAGTTTGACGTCACAGGCGCTTGGTTGGATAATAATTCAAATTCGCAACAAAACAGAATATTCGAGACAGAAAAAGGTTCCCTTGTTTATTCAACTAAACTTTCTGCAGCTGATAAAACAAAAGACACTTGCCTGGGAAACGGGAAACTGCGATGGGAAAAGGGCGCTGCACGGGGAAAGGAAATGAATATATGGCTCTCTGGGAAGCCAGAAGCAAACAAAAACAGTTATTAAGCCAACATTTGGCTGAAATCATTTCACGTACCAGTTCCCAAAGCCTGGCCATATTCCTTTATTGTCGTATATCTGCTTGTGTTTGTATCTCGGGGGCATTTGACGCATGTTTGGGAATTATAAAGATGCGGAATAATTAAAATAGAAACAATGGGAGCCACAACAGGAGCCATGCGTCAATATATCAGAGATAAATAAGCTGCGTTACTTGAATGCGATATACCCATCCATATACTTATAAATGACTAAACGAGCAGTAAAACCCAGCAAAATAGGTACAGTGATTTAAGAATGGTATTGCGGGAGTCATCAAATAACAAGACTTGAATCTGTTACTAAAATTTAGAAATAATCCGAATAAGATAGGTATATTTTTGACCAAAACTGCTGTTTAGTATTTATAGTACAAAATAATCACAATAAAACTTGAATCAATTGTATTCATTTCAATGCAGTAAGAAACCACTGTGCATTGCTGTCAAAATATGACAAAAGTGTGCTGGTGCATCTAAGTTTATTGGAAAGGAGGCGGCTATGGGGCCGTCAAAAGCATTCATAAAATGTACTAAACGTCCGATCGACTTGAACCCATCGAACAAACGAAAATAACTCATACGCCGTGGTGGTTTCCGGGGGGCTGGCTGGGAAATGCCGTGGGAGGAGCGACTTGGCAACGCGCTGTGTGTGCTCGAAGATTAAAAATAAGTTTTACCACAAAAAGCAAACACTACAAACAATCACGGCCACGTCGTCTGCTCTATGTTTACCCGAGAATCAGAAGCAAACAGTCAACGAGCTGATAATGAAGACAAATCAACAGAGCACACACACCCCACAGATCGGGTCCGTTTACAGATTGGATAGATCGGATTATATTATGCTCGAGCTCGACCTCTCCATCCCCACAACATCATCACTTGCCCCAAAAGAGCTTTGCATTCGTTTGTTTGTTTGTTTCTCCGCCTGTTTGTTTAACTTCTTCTCGGCGGGACTTAATCTAGGGAGCAGGATTAGCTAGAGGCGAACATCCGCCAAAAGAAAATCTTTGAAGAGTGCATTCTTTGGAAGAGCCCAACAATAAAATGGGAACAGCATTACTTTTGATCTCTGAATGTGTATAACTTTTGTGGTGTATACTTAACTCCAAATAGCAGTTCATTAATTTCGCCCAAGAAGCTATCAAAAGGTCGGTTTTCGAATTAATAAATAAAATAGAAAGTATTCGGAGTTAAGCCCTAAATTAAAATTCAAATCACATAGGCAGAAGCACCAAAAATGCTTGAATGAAAATCCAAACTTTAAATGCCATTGCTTAAAAGTGAAAAAATAATAGAAACAAATCAGGAAAAGTGGAGAGGTGTATATTTGGGGTAAACTTTAATTTGCGTGTGCAGGCAGGGCAAAAACACAGATTGGAACTGACCTAAAAACGCCAACATGCGACACAGTCAGACTAATCAAAAAAATTACAACAGGAAAAGTTGAAAAATACACACGAAAAATTAAATAAATAGGTGAATGGGTGAACAAGTGAACGACTGAGTGACTGAGTGAGTGAATGAATGAATGAATGAATGAATGAATGGATGGGTGGCTCTGAATCGCTGTTCAAAGCAATTTGTGTGCAGTCGAGGAGGGAAAAATAAAGTAAACAAAAAGAAACAGTCTTTTTCCTTACTGATTTTTGGTGATTTTACTAAAATGGTTATCATTGTTATTGTGTTCACAGCCAAAATGTGTATAATTTCTGATTGTTGTTGTTGGCTTTTTGTTTTAAAATCACGCTTTCTCCGCCTGAGAATGAGAAATGAAAACAAAAGTCAATGACGATTTTGAGAAATTTCGTGTGTTTTTTTTTCGTCTAGTAACCCTAAAACCGGAATCGCTTGCCGTGACTCTCTTCCAAATGGAGCAGTTCCCAAAATAAGAAACAATCATTATATTAAAGCATTTTAACACATCTGGACACATTTGTTCCCAGAAACGAAATAGCTGAGACGTAAACATTTTGCCAACTTATTTGTTAAGTACTTTGTGTGTTCGTTTTTTATCACTTTTTAATTGCTACTTTGAGATGGAAATTTTAAGTGCCTCCAGTAAACAATAATGGTCGTATTGGGGGTAAATTTCCACTGTGAAATGTCCGCCTCCTCAAGGAAGGGTCTAGTTGCGGCTATTATTAAGCTCGAACTTCATCTTCAAGTTTTCTGCCGACGTTGTGGGAAAAGTTAATTAATATTTTCGTTTTCTTTGATCGCAGAACTATCCGCTCTCTGTCGTTCCACACAAACCTAATCAATTTTCAAGTACCTTAATGATGTAACAACGCACAACGCGCCTCCCGGATTA